GGCGGGGCGGCGGGAGGGAGGGAGCCGCTCACAGGAACCCTCCAAAAAAAAGATGGCGGCGGGCTCGGATCTGCTGGATGAGGTTTTCCTGAACGCTGAGGTGGATGAGAAGGTGGTGAGCGACCTGGTCGGCTCCCTCGAGTCCCAGCTGGCGGCCTCGGGCCACCACCACCAGCACCACAATGCGCAGGAGCCCCTCAGGGCCGCGGGGGGGCTGCTGGGCAACCATGTTGTGAGCGGCAGCAGCGGCAGCAGCAGCCCGAGCCCGAGCCCTGGAGGAGGAGTAGTAGTAGGAGGCAATGCTAATGTCCAAACAGAGAGCCCCGGCGGCGGCGGCGGCGGCGGCACCAGCGGCAGCACCACCACCGCCAAGATGGGACTCAGTGGCCCCGAGATCACCAAGCCAGGTAACCCTGGGCGCAGCGGGGGAGGGGACGGGGGGGCGCCTCCTCGGGAGCAGGGGCCCCCCCCCCTCCTCCCCCCCCTCTCTTGCCTCCCCTCTTTCTTGAGACATGACTGCCTTGCCTCCCTCCTGGATCTCTCTCTCTATCCCTGTCCCCCCCTCTCTGTTTTCTTCTTTTCTCTCCCCCCCCCATTTTCCCTCCTTTTTCTCGTTGTTGTTTTGACCCCGTCCCTCGCTCCCACCCCCCCCCCCCCCCCTTTGCAAGACAGTATTTTCGGCTGGGACTCCGCTGCATCAAGAACGGAGACAGATTTTTGTTGGGATTCATAGGCATGTTTTTTGGCCCGGGGGTGGCTTTGGCTCCTGACCATTTATGCCCCCCCTTTCCTTTTATTTTTTTACTTTCAGTGTTTGCCTTTAATTATGTCATGCCCGGTCTTCTGATAGCTCGGAGTTGGTTTGCTGAATCGAGAAGGGGGGGGGGATTCTTAACGGTGTGACTTCAGTACCTTCTGTCCCCCACCCTCTCATGATCTCTGTTTCCCTCCTCCCTGTCTCATAGAAAAAAGGAAATTTGTGTTGTTTACAGGGGAGGAGTCCCCTCCTCTCCCTGTACATAATGCTTTTCTGGAGCTGTCTGAATTCTTCTTTGCCCTCCCTGCTCTCTGTTGCTGAAGTGCAAGGGAGGGGGGGGTGTTATTAATCGTGACACATGCTTCCCCTGAGAAGAGGAAGTGATGGGGGGCTCTTTGAGGGTCAGGTACCCTCCTTTGCTCTAAGGGTCATACCCTCATTTTAATTTTTTCCCCCTTCCTTCCTTTTTCAAACAATATGCCAAGCTCTGGTCTGGCAGGGAATCTGAATGTAGCCCCTTTGGCATGTGGGGCTGGGAGAGATGACAGTCCGCCTGCAAATGTTTCCCCTCTTTACTCCAAGAGGTGGGATGTGGAGGGTATCACAACTTTAGGTCCCGTCTCTCAATTTCACAGGTCAGGGGCATTTTAAGAGAGAGAGAGAGAGAGAGAGAACACTACTTGGCTTTTTCTCCTGATGTGATTGGTGTTCCCCCTCTTCTCCGTGTCTTTTCTCCCCCCCCCTGCTTTCTTGCTGCTGTGAAATATTCCGTGGATGTTGTTGCCTGTCATGACACCAGGTTAGTAAAGCGGGATCTCCGAGGAAGAAGAAGACCCCTCCCCTAGCTGTGATTTGTGTGACATTGTCTGTCTGATTACAGTGCTCCTTGCTTGTGTTTTCTAAACGCGGGGCCTGGAGAGCGAGTGGTAATGCCAGACCTTGCGAAAGACCGTGGCTTTTCTGGGTGCAGATTTAAAAACAAAAAAACACTTTATTATATGTGTTTTCCTTTGATTGTAGGAGCAACAGTCAAAATGTCAGGGATTCAATGTGTGCCGTGTGTGTGTTTAGGAAGGAGGGTGAAGTCCTTGCACTCTGCCATGCGACCTCTTCTCTGGTGTTGTCTGTGTGACAGGTCTTGTTCAGCCAGGAAAGATGTAGCCACAGGGTTCTGCTGTTGCAGATCCGTGTGTGTGTGTGTGTGTGAAGCAGAGGTGGGGGGGGTTTAGAGGTTTCCCCCTATGTACTTTTCTCTGTCTGCCTCCCACTCTCTTTGCTTTTCTCTCCCCCCCCCCCAATGCAGCTGCAAGAATGGAATAGTATGTTATCAGACTTGGAGCTACAGGATCCAAAGGAAACACCTCTTCTTAAGAGCTCATTTCATGTTTTACGTGTGGGCTGCTTTTAAAAAAAATTGGAGGAGGTTCTGATTGGCTATTAAGTCTCGTGCTGCTGGGATCTGGCAGTAGGAGGGACAGTAGGGCGGACTTTTTAATTTCTCAAATGGGTTATAATATTATGCTCCCCCCCCCATGTCTTGCTTCAGTGCAGAGAGATGCTTTGGCACAAGGGAAACACAGTTCCTTCTTGACTTACATAGCCATTTCCTCATCTTCTCTCATATATAGAAATGTTTTTCTCCCCCCATTTAACCACCTCCTTCTTGTTTGCAGGAGCTGGGGGTGTGCAAGGGAGCGTTATCAATCATAACGCCCGGTCCCAGGGTTCCAGTCTGGATGGGGCCACCCCAACCAGCGCCAGTGCTGCTGCGGGAGTCCAAGGTGGATCTGAAACGGCTGTCGCCCCAGGGACCCTCAGCCAGGGCAAATCGGTGGTGATCAGTACCATGGCAACCGCTCTGTCTACCAGGAATGGAAAAATCGGGACCACGGCCGTGCAGACTCTGAATGGGAGTAACGTGGTGATGAACTCTCACCATTCAGGGAGTGCTTCTTTTTCGGCCACCCCTGTGACGGCGAACCCTGCCGTCATCCCCGCCATCACCCCTCTTGTTAACAACGGACCGGGAAGCGTGGGGAAGGTAAACACCGTCAATGCCGTTTTGCCGGCTGCTTCTAATACCGTCATCCAGACTTCTTTCCTTGGCACCGGGGTGTCCTCTGCCTCTTCGCCCTCCCCTACGGTGATCTCCTCACAACAGCCCCCGAGCATCGGGACCGGGGGGCCAACTGTAGCATTGGTGAGGCCACCCATTCACACGGTGGGACCCTCGGTGGCCGCCGCCACCCAGAATGGGAGCAATACTGTGATCAACTCAACCATCAGCGTGGGGAGCTTTCCACCCACGGCTGTCACTGCCGCCACTGTGGGGTCCGGCGTCTCCCTCCAGACGTCTCTTGTGAACAGCCAGCCGGGTTCTGGTGTGCCGGCTGCCCCCGCCACGCAGGTCATCAAATCGGAATCTCCTAAAACCATTGTGCAGGCGGTAACTCAACAGCAGACTCTGGCTGCTGGTGGCCAGCCCAGTACTACGGGGGGTAATATGATCATTGGGCAAACTATGCAAGCCGGGCTGCCCAACGTGGCTCCTAATCCTGGCGGGGTACCTCCTGTGCCTCCGGGTACCCCCACGGGCCTGGCAAAGGGGGCTGCCAATACGGTGGCCCAGAGCCTGCCGAGGACTCCGACGGCAACCACGAGTGGAATCAGAGCAACTTTGGCTCCCACTGTCTTAGCACCTCGTCTGCCTCAGCCTCCTCAGAATCCCACAAACATCCAGAACTTTCAGTTGCCGCCAGGTAAGTAAAGACCGGAGTCACCTTCCTCTTTCTCCGTTGGCGTGTGCGTTGTTGGTTTATTGCTAAAAAGAAGGCAAAAGGCCTTGCTTCTGCTTTCATGTGGGACTGGGCCGCTCGCGCCCCGAGGGCCTTACTGGATATTGGTGTGCTGGTTTGTCCTGACTAGTCCAGTTATGATAGTCCGAATGCCAAAAAACAGTCAATGGGCGTCTCGTGTATGTTCGCTCTACCGATCTTGGCTCTCAAACGGCTCTCCCCAAAGGTGAAAAATGAAAGTTGGTAATGAGAAATCAAAGCCAACTTTGTTTTCAAAATAAAGCCTAGGCACTTTTCTTGCTTATTTTTAGCCTTAGCTGTTTTAGTTTCAGGTTTACTGACACGATAAATCGGGGGCTAGAAAGGTAACTCGGTTTCAGGAGGGCCTGCGAATTGCGCAGTTAGCAATCGCACAGATGGTTTCTGCTTTTTTGAAGAGCGGCATGGCACCTCTGTGCTGAGTGTGGTGTTTCAGGGGACCAAAGAGCGCTGATATAGATCCCAATAAGAAAATAGAGTGATATGTGTGTGTGTGTGGGCGAGCGTTAATTGCAAGCAAAGCAGCAGACAGTATAGCGAAGTGCTGTGCGAGTGATTTGCATGAAGGTGTCCTGTCTGATATGTCGTAGCACCTTTTGGCTTAGGCTCTTTCCCCTCCAACTGTCACTGTGCCAGTGACCCTTACAGTTTGGGAGCAAGTCTGCTTTCCTGTACTCCTTGATAAAAATGATACACAATGTGCTTTAGTCTTTGATGGTTTAGAACCAGCATGTCTGGAGTGTGACATGTCCTCGCCTCACCCTGTTGAGCTTAGTGCTGTTGAACGTGCAGTAGTGAAGCTCATGTTTTGGTGCTGAGATGCCACATGGGTGAGAGCTTCTGTAGTCCTAGGTCTAATAGAGCTGGATTAATTTCATCCCACTTCCCACCCACCCCTTTCTTCTCAAAGCTAGTCTTTCCCGGGCCCCGAAGCCTTAATTTTGAGACCTCTGAATGGAAACATTTTAAATAATAGTAAACGTTTATTTGTATGTCATTTCCTGCTCTTCCTGAGTATTTCATGGGAGCTTTATCAGGACTTGCCACATGTTGTCAGTCCCTCACACTGATATCTCTTTGGTCAGCGTTTTCGTAGCGTGGAATCCCTGTGCAAATCAGAACTGCGGGGTGGAATCCTCATATCCACCGGTTTTACCTGGATTCTGTTTTGATGTCACTCATGGTAGTAGCTGACACATATAGCTGGATACCCCCCTCCCAAGCCATATTGCAAGGTGGCATTATGGCTACACAAAGCACATCTAATTAAATTTTTATTATTACTACCTAATGAAATCAATGGGGTGCGTACGCTCAGTGTGCTTCATTTCAGTGGATCTTTGAGTTGGCAAAATTAATTTCTTGGTTGAAACTGTACTAGGCGAAGCGCTTAGTCTGATGTGTTTATCACGTATAAGAGACCAGCAGCCCTGTTTATAGTGTCCTACTGTACTTTACTAATACAGTAGCATGTCAGATGCAGTAACAAATGGCCTTGCTTGGTTCGTTGAGGGTTGTTGGCCAACTCTTCCTTGAAGGCCACTAGGTATTCAGACAACTTCGTGCACTTGTACGGGACAGGAAGGTAATGGGCTGAACCCAGTCCCCTCTCTCAGGAACAGCATTTTGGGGGACTCGGTGGGTCGCAGTGAGGCAGAGAATTGTTGAAATCACCCCCTTTCTTCTGCTGGTGGAAGATGGGTTCATGCTGGTGGTGAAAAGCAACCTTTAGATTCAGTGACAGTATTCTTAAAAGTTAGTTTTGTGCCAGGAAACTTTTCTTGCCACGCTTTGTTGTATTCTTAACTTGAAAGGGGGATCATGCTGGTGGTGAAAAGCAACCTTCAGGTTCAGTGACAGTATTCTTAAAACTTTTCTTGCCATGCTTTGTTGTATTCTTAACTTGAAAGGGGGAACAGGTATCAACACTCTTTTCCTTTCTGTCCTATACCGTCTTTATAATCTTTTCACAATAAATGTGAAGAAATAAATAATAAAATAATTTATATGGAATTCAAAGACTGGATGCTAATAAGAGCAAAACTGTCCATTTGGTCCCAGGGTATGGTCAGAAAACACATGCTATAGTAATATTGCTGAAGCTAAGCACATATAGGTTAGCTCCAGGGCAGGGGAGAATGCTGCCTTGAGTTCCAAAATGAAAGGTGTATGTGTGTAGATTTAGTAAATAAACAAAACCTTGTTCATTAGGGAGGAGGAGTATGTCACTGTAGTCCTCCTCAAACACCCCCCCTGGAAAGTGCCTGATTTTCTGGCCTGTACTTAATGCCTCTGTACTCTCTGAGTGACTGTTGTTAACAATTGAAGGGGGTGTACTAGGTATTTATAATGCATAGTTAACTTAATGATTCCACTACCACAAAATTTGTTGGCTGTTAACTTTGAAAGGACTAGGCAAGTTCTTGGCTTATCAGTTGCTCTTCGTAAAGGTAGCTCATTGGAACCTCCAAGTATGTACCTCTAAATACCAGATGCTGGGTGGGGACAGACAATGGAGAGGGCTTTTGCCTTCATGACCAGCTGGTCACTATTATAAGAAGAGTGGTGGTCTACACGAACCCCTGGTTTGATGCAGTACCACCCCAAAGCACGACAACAACACTAAGCTGTGCTAACAACATTGTTACAGTTGTGATGAGGTACCAAAAAATTATAAAACAAGTCTTGCCGTTTAAAAGAAGTGTTGGCTTGCTAAAATGTACTCAGAATCTTGAGTTTGTTTCCTCTGTAGGACTTTTTGACTCACAATAGAATCTAAACATCTCCCTCTGACTTGTGGTAGGATAGATTAAGGCTGCGATCCTGTGCTGCCTTAGTTGGAAACAAGAATCACTGTACTCAGTTGGATGCTGCGAGGTAAACATACATAAGCTCAGACTGCATGTTTCTCAAATGCAACTCTTGTGCTATACTCAAGGTGGCATGACATTTTACTGGGGGGGTGAACCCTCACTTGCTTATGAACTCAACCCTTACAAACCAGGTAGTCAGCTTCGTTGATTTATTATTTACCGTATGTAATCGTCTTTCTGTGATGATGCTCACACAACAAAAATTACAAGGAAAGGATTAAAAAAGGTAAAGCCAAGTACATAAGCTCAGGCTGCATGTTTCTCAAATGCAACTCTTGTACTATACTCAAGGTGGCATGACATTTTAGCATGACATTTTACGGGGGGGGGGGACGGGGACCCTCACTTGCTTATGAACTCAGCCCTTACAAGCCAGGTAGTCAGCTTCGTTGATTGATTATTTACTGTATGTAATCGTCTTTCTGTGATGACACTCACACAACCAAAAATTACAAGGAAAGGATTAAAAAAGGTAAAGCCAACAAAAAGTGGCAGAAAAACATAAACGTTGCTAAACGTCAGGTCAGTTGAGGACAGAGATGGTTTTAAGAACTGTCATACAGCAAGTCAACCCCCAGCTCTCTTCCACTGAGCGAGAGTGCCCCATAATTTGGGGGGAGTGCCCATAGTTCAGTTAAAGAGCATCTGCTTTGCATGCGGTAGGCCCCAAATTCAATCCCCGGCACGTCCAATTAAGGAATCTCAGGCAAAAGGGGCTGTGATAAGGGTGTCAGAATTTTCGATTTTGGTGTGTGACCCAATTATCAAAGGTGTTTCGCCACCTAAAAAGAGATGACCCAGTTGCAGGAATCTCAAGCATTAGGTTTCTCTCTCTCTCTCTCTTGCCCCCCCCCTTCTCATGCCACTGTAGTATGCCTAAAATTTCTAATGGAATTCTACATGCCGGCATATTAATGGGCAAAGAGGTTTATTTTAATGAGAACATGAATTATTGCAGAGTTCCATAAAGTGGAGCACCTGCTCCCTAGGAGAACTCTGAAAACCTGGCCAGGGGAGAGGGTGGGACTCAGATTGGGGGAAACCACAGCTCTTCCTCCTGCTTCGGTGGCTCAATACTGACTGATTAGTGTAGGGAGAGTTGTGGGGGGTAGAGGTGTGTCCCCAGGTTAGATCTGAGCATATTTCAAAGTGAGGTGATATGGTTCAGTGCTCCCAAACATCAGGGGTGTTTTGAGGTGCTGAAGGGGGCAATTAAGAACTGTGTTCCAAATAAATTTCACAGCCAGGATAGAGTCAGGTGACCCTGAAAATGTATTGAAATTTGAGGGGGGGAATGAAAGGGCCGTGGCTTGGCATGCAGGTCCAATAAATAATTGCTACTAACTGTAATAAATCTTAAAGATGCAAATCAGAAGCGATTCTGATCTACCCGAAGTCTTAAAACGCTGGGATAGCATCCCTAGAGTAGTCATAGGTGTGTGCAGCTTCATTAGTTTCAGAGAGGTGGATGCACTTAAGATGAATAATTCGATTTTGGTTTCAGTAGGGTATCTCCCCTGGGTTTAGGAAGTGCCTCCCCCTCCCAATACCTTGGCATATTTCCTGTGAAGGATTGCTCTGTCTGAAGGTGGAATGTGGGAGATAAAAGGCTTGTGCTTGAGGTTAAGAAAATATCCACTTAAGTGACTTGAATGGAATTTTGCATCGTACAGGGATTTTTGATCAGCATATTTGGGATCTGAAGGAATCCCCCCCCCCCCCCGTGTTTAAATTGCCAGTTACTCTCTGTGTGTTTGTGTATATACCCCTTCCCATATGCTATGGAGATTGGGTCATATACTTAACTTGTGTGTTTGACTAAATTGATTGAATTATTTGCTGTCATGAGGCATATTCATGTCTTCGTGTAGCATACTATGATTGGTGGGTGCGTGCTGTAGAGTTGTACAAATATGACTGAATGTGCTTCTCGGTGAGGGCTGTACTATTTGGTCTCTAAGTCCTTTCCAGTGCAATACGATTCAGAGTTACTCCATCCCATTGAAATGATGCTTAGACTCGAGTAACTCTATAGAGTTGCACAGCCTTAGC